CCAGAAAAGTGCAGCCTTTGGATTAGCAGCACAACTCTATGAACTCCTCCACCATAGTTCAAAATTTAATGAGTCACCCCTAAGTGATTATAGAAGGATATGTGCTTTAAAATATTCGCAAATTTTCTGTAACACATTTGTGGTAATTTAGTAATTTTTTAAATTTCCAGAAAAATTTAAGTTTTTTGTAATATGTATAAATAGCTACTCATCCCAGGTTCAGGCTATTGGCAAATTCCATCAGTATAGCCATAATTCTTATAAAAGACATTAACAGGCCACTGGAGATATCGGTTACAACTTCATTAATTCTTTTTAAACCATAGCTCAAGGAATCATAAAACCAGATATTCCACATTTACTAATTTAACTATCCAGCAAAGTTTTAGTAAAGGTTGTCCTATGTACTAGTTCCATGGCATAAGCATCCCACTGACCAAATGATATGTGATTGGAGGAAGACTCATCAACAAACTGCATTATGCAGATGACCTAATCTTTCAAGGGAGAAGGTCTTAAAACTCTTGCTGCAGAAGGTCAAAGACCTTCAATATAGATTACATCTCAACCTCAAGATAACAAAAATTCTCACCCCTGGGCCAATAGGCGACATCATGATACATGGAGAAGCATCTGAAATTGTCAATAATTTCATCTTGCTTGGATCTACCATCAACACCAGCACCCTAGGTACCAGCTGTCAAGAAATTAAAAGATCTTTGTATTGGGTAAATCTGTTGTCAAAGTCCTCTTCAAAATGCTAAAAAGCAAGGGTATCTATTTAAATACCAAGGTGTGCCTCATCCAAGTTATAGTCATTTCAATTACTTGCTATTCATCTCAAAGTTGGGCAATGATTAAGGATGCCAGAAGAGTTGATGTCTTTGGTTTGTGGTGTTATAGAGGATTAGTAAATATTCCATGGACTGCCAAAAGAAAAAACAAATGCGTCTTGGAAAAAGCACAACAAGGGTGCTCCATGGAGGCAAGGAGGGTGAAACTTTGTCTCACATACTTTGGGAATATTGTTAAGAAGAGTCAGTCTTTTGAAAAGGATACCATGCTTGGAAAGGTGGAGGGTCAGCATTAGAGAGGAAGACTCTAAACAAAGATTGACATAGTAACTATAACAATGAACTCAAGTATATGTGAAATTATGAGAATGGAACAGGATAGGGCAGGGTTGAGATCTGTTGTTTGCAGGGTCACTATGAGTCATAGTCCACTTGATGGCACATAACAACAACAACAACATTTTTTTCATTATTGGCATTTATTAAGTGCTTCTAAGAACAGAAGATTTCAAAGGGTAGCTCAGAATAAAGCAAAATATTATAAAGCAATTTATTATACTAAAATGTAAAAAGAGCTGGAGTCAGACAATCTAAAGGGATGAACTTGCTCAGCATTTCTCAAACTGAAGGAAATAAAGAACATGTTCAAGCCTTGAGATGCAATATTTAAGGATGCTATCAGAATTGGTACCAGCAGCCAGGAAATCAAGAGACAAATTGCATTGGGAAAGTCAGCTGTCAGGGACCTCTCCAGAGTACTGAAGAGCTACAATGTCAGGCTGGAGACTAAGGTGCGCGTGATCTGGGCCATAGTCTTTGCAAATATGTCCTATGTGTTGGAGAGCTGGACAGTGACTAGTGATGATAGAACTGTGGTGTTGGAGAAGAGTGTTGAATATACCATGGACTGCTAGGAGAACAAACATGTTTGTCCTGGAGAGGGTGAAACTGGGCTGCTCCTTGGAGACAAGGATTCTGAAACTTTGTCTGACATACATTGGACATGTTGTAAGGTGGGAACAGTGCTTGGAGAGAGACGTCATGCTTGGGAGGGTGGAGGGATAGCACAAGAGAGGAAGACTCTTGATGAGATGAATTGATTCAGTGATTAGGGTAATGAGGCTAGGTGTGTCAGGGACAATAAGCTTGGCACAGGATAAAGCAGGGTTTAGGGCTGTTGTACATAGGGTAGCTACGAGTCACAGGCAACTCAATGGCACATAACAACAACAACAATTATGAGACATTGTAAAAATTAAGTTTTGAAATGAAGCAACAACATCAGTCCAGAGACTAAGATGTGCCTGATCCAGGCCATAGCCTTTGAAATTGCTTGCTACATGTCAGAGTGCTGGACAACGACTAGGGATGACAGAAGGAGAACTGATGTCCTTGAGCTGTGGTGCTGAAGAAGAGTGTTGACTATACCATGGGCTGCTAGGAAAATAAACAGGTTTGTCCTGGAGTAGATGAAATCGGGCTGCTCCTTGGACGCAAGGATTCTGAAGCTTTGTCTGACATTCTTTGGGCATGGTGTAAGGAGGGACCATTCCTTGTAGAGGGACAGCATGTTTGGGAGGGTGGAAGGGACAGTGCAAGAGAGGAAGACTCTTGATGAGATGGATCGATTCAGTGATTGGAGTAATGGGAGTAGGTATGTCAGAGACAATGAGGTTAGCAAAGGATAGAGCAGGGTTTAGGGCCCTTGTACATAGGGTCCCTATGATTCACAAGCGACTCAACAGCACATAACAAGAACAACATGGGCAGATCTTGAATCATCCAGGAAGCATCAAAAGAGGAAGGAATACAAAGGATCAAAAGAAGATGGTAGGAACACACAGAGTTACTATACAAAAAAGAACTGACAGAAAAACTTCATGAAACAATAGATAATAAAGAGGCAATGGTGATGAAAGAAGTTTAAGTAGCTCTGAAGGCACTGGCAATAAACAAGACCCCAGGAATCGATGGATTACCCATAGATATATGCTGCCCTGGATGTGCTCACCAGATATGTCAAGAAATCTGGAGGACAACTACCTAGACAACTGACTGGAAAAGATCTCTATTTATTCCCATTCCATTAAAAATGTGATCTGACAGAGTGTAGGAATTATTGAACAGTATCACTAATACCACACACAAGCAAGATCCTGTTGAAGATTATCCAAAAACGATTGGCATATACTCTGACAAGAGAACTGCCAGAAGTGCATGTTGGGTTTAGAAGAGGCTGTGGCACTAGGGACTTCACAGCCAACGTCAGATGGATCTTGGCTGAAAGCAGAAAATATTAGAGGAATGTATATCTGTGTTTCACTGACTACACAAAGACATTTGACTATGTGAATCACAACAAATTGTGGCTAACTAGGGGAGAAGGGGAATCCCAGAACCCTTGTTTGTGCTTATGTGAAACCTATACTTGGATCAGGAAGCAGTCCTCAGAACAGAGCAAGGGAATGGTTCAAAATCACTCAAGGAGTGTGTCAGGGATGCATCCTGTCTCCATACCTTTTCAATCTATATACAGAAAAGATCATTCGGGAGGCTGGACTTTAGGAGGAAGAATGTGTTAACAAGATTGGAGGAAGACTCATCAACAACCTGCATTATGCAAATGACACAAAACTGAGGAGGACCTGAAGCATTTGCTGCAGAACGTCAAGGACTGCAGTCTTCAATATGGACTGAAGCTCAACATCAGGAAAACAAAGATTCTTATCACTGGGTCAAGTGACAGCACTGTGAAATATAAGAGACTGAAATTGCTCACAATTTCAGCTTGCTTGGTTCCACAATCAATACTCTTGGCACTTTTGTCAGGAAATCAAAAGACAAATTACCTTAGGAAAATCTGCTGTCAGGGACCTCTCTAGAGTACTTAAGTCAATGATATCAGTCCGGAGACTTAGGTACACCTGATCCAGGCCATGGTTTTTACAATTACTTGTTATGCATCAGAGAGCTGAACAATATGTAAGGATGATAGAAGAATCAATGTCTTTGAGTTGTGGTGCTGGAGAAGAGCACTGAACATACAGTGAACTTCCAAGATACAAACAGGTCTGTTCCTGAGAAGGTGAAACCAAGCAGCTTCTTGGAGGAGGACATCTTGTTGGGAAGGGTGAAGGGAAAGCCCAGGAAAGCTAGATGTTGGGTGAGATGGACTGACACAACGAGTGGGGTAATGGGGGTTGGTGGTGTATCGGAGACAGTGAGACTGGCTCAGGATAAGGCAGGGTTCAGAGATACTGCACATAGGGTCGCTATGAGTCACAGCCAACAATGGTATATAACAACAACAATAGGCTCTAGGCAGCTCTAATAGCCTAGTGGTAAGAAACTGCTGCAATCTCAAAGGCATTAAAATCCAGCATCTGCTCTGCAGAAGGTTGGGAAATCTCCTCCTGTGGGCTTTACTGACTCTGAAAACCTACTGGAGTGTCTGCTGTACGGTGGGTTCCGATCGGATAGCACATCTGACAGTGCTGTGGACTAAAACATCTGAATGCTAACTGAAAGATAGTTTGAAACCAACAATTGTTCTACAGATGAAAGATGTGGCGGTCTACAAAGCTATGATTATCCTCATTCCACAAGGACTGTCGATCTGAAAGCGCTACGGGGCAATTCTGCTGTCGTACAGTCAAGGAAGCTCTAGTGGCAGAGTGGTAAGTAACTGCACTGTCAAAGTAAACGCACGTGGTTTGAGTCCACCAGGTGCTCTGGGGGCAAAAGATGGGCGATCTATTTCCAACTGATTTACTGTCTCTGAGTTGGTAGCGACTCGACAGTACACACAATAATACAGTCAATGAGTTGGAATCGACTTGATCCCAAAGCGTGCTTTTTAAAACAAAACATTTTTCCTACACACTTGGCTAATGTTGCTTCTGGACTTCGTAGTGAGTTTGGACCTTTCAGCTGGGACTAGACAGAGCTTGAGCGTCAGTGGCTCAACAAACTCCACACTTTTCCAGTTTTCAAACCGGTGGCGAGGCCAGCTCCTCGCCCTCTTCACGCGTTCTGCTCCCTCCAAGACCATCCTCTCAGTTTTATACTCGTGTTTCTGCGCACCCTCTCCAGAGGCTGACTGAGAACTCGTTTCACCCGTCATTCCGTAAACCATCTGAAAACCGAACGCAGAGACAAGCAGCGTCCGCGGCTTGACGTGAGCCCGACTGGCGGATTAGAACTTACCCGATTCACATGGCCTGGAGGGGGTTTGGAGAACGGCTTCGAGGTGGCGGCCTCAGCCTCAATAATGTTGAGGAGCAAGTCGTCGGCGGCTGCCATGGCTGGCCAGAGGCGGGAGGCACCCCTGAGACGTGGCAGGACAGCGAGCGTTCACACTGCCGGGACTGGAAACTACAGCTCCAGCGCGGAATCCAGCTCACGTGGGACGCGTGTGAGGACCCCGGGTAGCTGCCCCCGCTGAGTCCTGTCGCCACCGTCCCTCCCAGGGACCCAAACCCCCTCTAACACACAGCAAAGGACTACGGTAGTGGTGCTAGGGCAGGAGGACGCTCTTTGTGGCACAACAGAAGAGGTGCGAAAACAAGGTCCTCAGGGCCCCAGGGCGCCGATTAGTGTGATGTGACAGCTACGTTCTCCACCGCTTGATTTACTGCAGATAGGCAGAACTGCACTCAGTCGAAATGTTAATGCCCATGAACTTCTCTGGATTCCTCTTAGGAGTAAGAAGAGGTTGCCACCTGGTTATTCTTTCCGCCCTAAAGAGACCCGGGTACCAGCCACCAGGAGAGAGGCCCCATTGTGTTATGCAGAAAAGGGTTTTAGGATTATAGGATCACGTTTACGCCTCAAAGTTTCTTGATAAACCGCCCCGGGGTTTTGGATGAGGCCCGCAGAGCAGGCGTGTTTTCTAGACAGGCAGTTCCTTGGGCACCTGGCAGGGCTGGGTCGCCTGGCAACGATGGGGTCCTTCCTGGCTTAGTGACGCTTGAGGTCTGAGGGGAGAAAACTGCCGCGGAGGGGGCTCCTGGCGGTAGTGTGGGTGGCGGCAACGGGGCAACCAAGTAGGCTCTCCGCGCCCGGGGATTCGGCTTCTAGAGCTGAGGGAAGATGTCTACGGCTACCAGTGCCCGAGTGGGGCCCGAGAGCGATGAGCCTGCGCCACCCGAGGAGGAGGAGGGCGAGGGGGGCGGCGAGGCGGGAGCCAAAGAGCCAACAGTGAACAGTGCACCGGGGCCCAGTACCTCTTTTCGCCTCATGGTGACTCGGCGGGAGCCCGCCGTAAAGCTGCAGTACGCGGTTAGCGGCCTGGAGCCGTTAGCCTGGTCCGAGGACCACCGCGTGTCGGTGTCCACGGCCCGCAGCGTCGCTGTGCTGGAGCTCATCTGCGACGTGCACAACCCGGACCAGAACCTGGTTATCCACCGCACGTCGGTTCCCGCGCCTGCCAACAGCTGCTTCCTTAAGGTAAGTCATCCCCGGGGCCCAGCCCCGAGCCGATCTCCTGCACCTTCCGCGGCCGCGTCATCCATCCCTGGGGAATCCCTGCTGGCGGCTTGCTTGCACGGGGATTCCCCTCCTCACTCTAGGCCCCGAGGGTTTTTTAAGTGGCCTGGGTCCTCGCAGCTTTAAAAAGCAAGATATTTTCTCTTTTTGCACTCAAGTTTCTCCGTTGACCCAGCTTCACCCCTCTTCCCTTCCCCTCCCCCCCCCATCCTCTAGGAAGCAAATGCCGCCAACACTCTGGGAGCCCCTGTGTCTGACGGATTACTGGCGTGCTTTCTGAAACTCCACCCCCCTGTTGACCCAACCCCGGACCTGCCTCTAACGTTGCTTCTATTGTCTGGGGCCTACTCCCCGAGCCCTAGGACTGGCTTTGTTTACTATTTTGTTTCTCCTTTTTAGCCTCTTGCTTTAAAGACGAAGAATGGGTTCTTAGTGCCGTATTGACTATTTCAGCGGCTTTATTATGAGTGATCTTTGTGTTCAACTCTTTAGCAGATGGTTAAAATACCGAATCTTGGTGTTTGTACTCATTTCTCTTAACAGCTAAAAATCATTTGGATGTAGAATGAAAAAGACTTCTGGAAGCAGTTACTATTCTTAAACTTCAAGTACACGATTTTGATGCATATTTAGTGTTTTCAGCTTTATCAACTCTTAAATTTACTTTCGGAACTTTATGGTTTCTAAAGTTTTATTGTTTTACTGTCACCATTTTCAGATTCAGATGTGAGGTTTTTTGCTTTTTGGTTTGGTTCCCCCGGCCCCCCTTTGAAGTAATAAACCATGAGGCTAATTTTTGGGATTCAGAACTTTAAAGACTTTCCTTATGGATTTGTACACATATATGGTTGACAACGTGTTGAATTTGTGCTAGGCACTGACCTAGATTCCGAAAATAAACTCATTCATTATTGCTAATTCAGAACCAATTCATAGCTTCAGAAGGTTTTCAGAATTTATAAATCAAAGAGGAGGAGATTGCAGATTTTTCTCCGGTAGAGCAGCTGGTGGATTTGAACCACTGGAGGATGGCACCTTTGGGTTAGTAGCACTACTTCCTGTGGACTGTGCCTTAAAGCAATCTACAAAACAAAGGCCCTTCCCTGCTAGAATATTATTCTTGAAGTAAAAGAAACCAACAGCAGTATACTGTTAAGTAGCGATAATGCTTGGTATATGCATGTTTATCTACTGAGAACGTGTTCAGGGGAAAAAGAAAGGATTTTTTTCCCCCCTTATGCTGGACAGAATGCTATTTTTTAAATGAGACTTCTTAGCTGAGTGGAGCCCCTGGGTTAATGTGCTCACTTGCTGAGAAAGATTGGAGATTCCAGTCCACCCAGAGGCACCTCCGAAAAAAAGGCCAGATGATGTGGGAAAATCAGCCACTGAAACGCTATGGAGCATTGTTCTATTTTGACACATGAGGCTTCCATAAGTTAAAATTGACTGCATGACAGCTGGTTTTAGTTAAGGTGCAGGGAACCCACACGACTTTATGACCGTTGGTACATCTGTATGATCAAACCTTCTAAGATAATGGAGGCGAGACACTGTGCTGCAATCCTGAAGGCACCCAGTTCGAGGCCACCAGCTGGTCCGCAAGAGAAGGATGGGCAATCTTCCTCCCCTGCCTCTGAAAACCTGCCAGAGGGTCAGCTGTGGGTCAGTTCTGATTCTACGGTATACAACAACAAGAACAAATTGGTTCAAATAAACAAGTCAGGTGAACTCAATACCTACAATGCTATGCCATGAGAACAGAAGCAGTAAGAAGGGATTTTAAAAAGTCAGTATGGTAGAAATTGACTTGTTGACCCATCCACTGAGTTGATTCTGACTCATAGCAATCCTATGGAACAGAAGAGAATACCCCTTAGGGTTTCTAAGGCTGTAAGTCTGCTGGACATAAACTGCCTCCTCCTCTTCTCATTCTGGTTACACTCCTTCCAAAACAGTTTCGCTTATTCTTTTGGCAGCTGTAGAAAAGCAAATGTAGATTTAGTGCCTTCAGCTTCGTATAATCTATGCCCTCAGACCTTTAGGGTTTCCAAAGTTATTTTATTATCACCATTTTGAAATTGAGTATTTATGTGTGTTTTCTCAAAGTACGATAAGCCACTAGGTTGTTCAATATTCTTCACTAACACCACAATTTGAGGTAACAGTTCTTTGATCTTCATTCATTGTCTTAACTTTAACATGCATATAAGGTGACTGAAAATGCTATGGCTTAGGTCGGGTGCACCTTAGTCTTCTTTAGCACTTTAAAGATGTTTACTATAGCACATTTGCTCAGTGCAGTATGTCATTTGTTTTTTTTTCTCCTTTATGTATTCATTGTTGCACATTTTCTCCTTTCCCCCAGCCCACTCCGCAATGCACCCCTTGTTCCAGACTGTCCTCATTCATATAATGTGTAATCATATTCCTTTCAGACAGTTCTTCGCCTCGTCTGTTCTAATGCAGTGTTTATTTTCTATCCACATTTCCCCTATTCTATTTCTCCCTCCCCACCCCCTCATGTCTATCCTATTTTATGACGGGCATTTATCCTTTTGTGACACTGAAATATTTCACTGAGCTTAATATCCTCAAGAGTCTTCCATGTTGGGTAATATTTTACTGTTTCATTGGTTTTTCCGTGCTGCATAATAGTCTATTGTGTGGATGTACCATAGTTTTTCTGCTCATTTGTTCATTGATAGGACCTTCCATCTCTTTGCTATTATGAATAATGCAGCAATAAACATGGGTATGCACACATCTGTTTGAGCTGTGGCTCTGGTTTCTTTAGGGTGTAGTCCCAGTACTGGAATTGCTGGGTCAAATGGTGTTTCTCTTTCCAACTTTTTGAGAAAGCACCAGACTGTCTGTCTTAGTGGTTGTAACATTTTACAATCCTACCAGCAGTGTAAGAGTCTTTTAAACAACTGCCAGCATTTGTTGTTTGTTGCCTTGTTGAACTTTGCTATTATTGCTGGGTCTTTTGATTTCTTAACTGATACTTTCTGTAGCTGTTGATTGTGGTACTGAGTAAAACAAGGTGTGTGTGTTTGTGGGGGGTACCTAACCTGTTAGGGTTTTTGAAAAGATTAAATTTAATATACACACATGTAACCACTTACCATAATTTGTGGCATGTTATTGACATTCAGGGTATTTAAAAAAATTACAATTCTGCCGTATAAAAATGGTGTGGACCAGGGTGGGCGGAAATGGACAGCAGCATCTAACCTCTTCTCACTTTGGGAAGGGGAAAATCTTCATCAGTAGGAGTCTAAGGCTGATTCTTGTGAGGTTAGAAGTGTCACCCCACCACCATGCTCCAAACCTTTCTACCAATTCTGCCATAAAAGCCTTCTCACAGCTCTCTGTTTCTGTGCTGGGTTCAATAATGATTGCAGTGGTCACACAAAAGTCAGTTATGGAGTTTATTAGGAATGGAATAAGTTAAAATTTAGGCTCAGGAACAACTCAGGATAGAGTTTTTTGTCAGGACAGACTTCAGCTTGAAAATAAGTGTGCCCCCCCCCCCCACTAGTTTTTAACTTTTACTTTGGATGGAATGCTACTTTAAATATGAATTCTTTGCTGTGGTTGAAGCCCCTGGGTTAATGCATTTGCTTATAGAGAAAGGTTGACTGTTCCAGTCCACCTATCTGTGGGCCTTGGTCTCTGTCCTAATGAGGCAAATGTTACAAAATTTTAGCTGAATAGGTTAGCAAACTTAGCCCCCTGACACCAGTAAGACTCCTACTTCAAAGGCCCTCAGCTTTCTGGTTCTGTGGCTGGGAAGCCCAAGCTGTGTCTCT